ATCCGAGATAAAGAATATTGTACACGTGGCGCATCAAACTTAATTTCCTGAACGGACCCGGGGGTTTTGAATCTGAGATGAAAGATACGAACTGCTCCAGATCAAAGTTTGAGAATGTATGACGATTTCGTTCCACTTCTTCCTTTGATTCAAGTGAGCCACGAACTCGTACAATGAGTTCCACGTTAGATGACTGATATCTGGAAATCTTGGCTCAATGGAATACGTGGCATTAAAAAAAACATTTATTATACAAATATTCACATAAAAAATTGCTATGATTCCTGCGATATATTATACTGTACTTGAAATCTCCGCATTTTGTGCTTATGAAATATATTTCATCTTCCGAAATGAGGCATTCAAGTGATGAAATATGTTCGATGGTTTAAACATTTTGTTTCAATTCGAAAATTGCGGCGAAATTCTTGAGCTTTAGCGGGAATCCTTTTTGAAACCTGTGTAGCGCTGATTTTAGTTGTTAAGGTGTACTAAAATCTAGTAATGGAAGAGGTACTGATTTTAGTTGTTAAGGTGCATCTAAAATTATAAAAAATTCTCCTCTTCCATTGCTGTTGTTAATTTTGTTCGAAAAAGAGATACAGTATTTCAAAGCTTGACATATTTTGCAGTTGCTTCTTCGAGATATTCTAAATAATTTCTCGAATATATTGCATTCCTTAGCATTGCCTAAATTGTAAAATTCACTCGTCCAGTATGGTAGACCTCATTAGTACTTGGATCCATAATACTGTAATAGACTACCTCACATTTTACTTCAGAGTTGATGAAACAGTCGCTTCTTGTCAGAGTAATTAACCGTTTCCCTCAGGAGCATTCTTACCTGCACTTTTTTTGTTCTCACTGACAACTCTTTCAAAATTTTTTTGAGTTCCCAAGCGAAAAAAAGGAAATTCTCTACCGGTATTTTCAAAGGTAAAAAAAAACCGTACAGCAGTATGAGTATTCGCATTGTTCTCATACAGTATTTTGTTTCCGAGCCGATGAAAAATATTCTGAATACCTTGGGAGATTTTTATGATACATTTTTCGCGATAAAAATCACAAGAATATTTTTTCTTGAGATAAGACTGGAACAGCGAGCTGAGCAAGGGTTCAAAATACTACGCACTTGCCTCTCCCTCTCCTCTTGATAAATCTCTCAAGAGAATTTGAAAGCTTCACCAGGTTTTCACCAGAAGTATAAGGGGTTTGCAAGATTTGCGCGTACTTATCAATTTTTTTTATTTTTTTGATACAGCAAAGTGAAACACAAGAATAGGAACTTGATTGCCTTTGAAAGCAGGAGGAAAACTAATTGTGCAAATGAACCCCTGTGTCCAAGTTCGGCATCCTTGCTGTCAACGTTTTTAAGAAGCAATTTAAGGCCCAGAATATCAACACTTACAATTTCCTTCAATTATTTTATGTTTCCTCAAACAAAAAAATACTTGTTTCCCCGACTAAAAACCTCCTCAAGTCAAAACCTCATTAATTCAAATTTGTTAGCTTGTTTGTTTAAAATTTGACTTGGAGAGGTCTGACTGTACTTATTTAATCTCCAATTTTGAATTCCTCAGGATGGTTTCCTGGCCTCCACCAAATTTCCCAATTTTTGTTAAAGTTTTTATGCCTGAAAGATTTCATGTCAATTAACAGCATTTGCGCAGTTACCCAACAATGCTGCACATAAGCTCATCATTACAGTGAATGGAATTCTTTAAATTTTGCATTTAAAAAATATACAAATCCCCATAGCATCTTTGCGTATCTGAGCCTGCATGGAAATTGAAAATTGAAGAAGCATAAAAACAGCTAGAATGAGCTGAAGCAAAAACTTCAAACTGCACTTGAGAATTTTTTTCAAATTTGAAATTTCAAAAAATTGTTGCATTCCACTAAATTTTATTTTTCAGCATTATTATTAATGTGCACCATGCAAAGTTCTTCAAATTTTGATCTTTGATGCATTGAAATAAAAATTCATGGAGTTAAAAATAAGAACTTGTTCACGTGCAATGTTTTCTCACTTGAGTATATAAGTGATCAAATTACATCCCATCAGTCATAAAAATGTTTGCGCAGGGAAACTTTTTTTCCCGCTGAATGATAATTGAATCTAGTCCATAAAAATGAATCACACTCTATATTTTCTGCATCAGGTGTTTGAAAATGGAAACAAATCCAGTTACGTAATAAGATATTCCCAATTATTGCATGAACACTGTAGAAGAATGTGAAGAAGAGCGAGACTCCCCATGGAGCGAAAGGTTCTTCCCACTATATATCGTCTCAATAAGAACAGAGCATGTCCCACAGGGCGAATCATAATAGGTGTCTATGTGCAAAAATGTTTTATAAAAAATCTCCTAAAAAAATGAAAAAGAAATTGCGGAAAGTTTCCATGTGCAGAAAAGAAATTTGCCCCCCCCCCTGGGATCGTTCGCGTTTTACGCCCGGGTAAACAACCTTTCTAGAAAAACCTTCTGGTTTCATCCCCATTGTTGATACTGTACCATGTTGCTTTTCAAAAAGTATGACTTTTCAAAAGTTTGACTTGTCAAGAAGTCAAAAAGTACATGTAATAGCTCACTGGCTGCGAATCCGGAAATGGTATATTGAACCAGCTTTATTGTGTAAATTTTTGCACTCACGAGGAAACGAGTCAATCCACAAAACAGCGCGTGCAAAATATCGGAGTGTAACCTAATTTGAATATACATTACAACAAAATCACATTACAACTAACTTTCAGGGACAAGATAAAAAATTCGTCATTTATGATAGAAAATTCGTTATATCGAGATTCAAGGTTAAAAAAATTACACGGGTGACATTTTCGGGGATTGGCTAAAGAGATCGTGAAGTGCTCCTGCAACATATATAATCAAGACTTGCCATTATTTTCAACTCTCTCTGATTCAATTCGAAGGGAAATTTTAGATAAACGTTCATAATTTTGAATCCACCTTTATTTAAATTTCCTCATCATGTGCTGATCATTTTGAAAAAATGAAATGACAGAAAAAACACGCATATGAATTACCTCCTTCCACAGACGTTTATTCAAGGACAGCCGTTTTTTCTTCGAATAAAAGGTACATTCTTCAGAATCATGACATAATTTACTGCTCCTTTGAAAAATATCTACAGTATTGCAAAGTTTTCAAATGAGCCTCAATAAATCGCAAGAAAAATGTTATGCTTGGTTAGTTTTTCAATGCTGTTAAAACTATTCTTCAAGAAGACTTAATTTTTTAAATTAAATTTTGATGATGCTCAAGTTGGAAGGTTTAATTTTTCTTCATGTTCCATACATCGAATAGGGCAAACATGTAAAAAATGAGATTTCAGCTGAAAATTAGTGTGTTGACAAGAGATCGTTATATGATTGTTCCTTTAAGGATAAACTTCTGGGACCTTTGAAAAATTCATTAAAAATAATGTGTTGCAAAGGCATTTTACTCTAGAGTTTTTTTTCTGGCATTTGCTCATTTGCCAATAACCTCATCATTTGACGTCGAAGCATTCAAAGCAGTNTTGTTAGTCACAAAGGGTTTCATGAACAAAATAAATCGATCTTCAAAAGAGATCGTTGATTGAAAGCATGACACCGGTTGTTCAACTCGACCTACGAACCTCTCCTAAATTTGGAGACCTCATCTTCTCACGCAAATGAGAGAAGCCCCAATACTGTACATGTCGGGAATATTGCTCTTTTTTCTTCATACGTGCTCCAATTTATTTTTCCCCAGGGCGGTCTTCTACTGGTTCACGGCCATCGTGTTCGTACTCATTCCCCTGGCCCTGCTCATCACGTTCAACGCCATGCTGGTGGCGAGTGTCAGGCGCAGTCGCCGGGCTCGGGTCACCCTGACCTCGGACCACGACCACTTGCACCGCAGGGTCCAGCAGGAAACCCGACTCACCATGCTGCTAATCACGGTCGTGTTTGTGTTTTTGTGTTGCCAAACACCGACAGCTGTCAGCCTGATCGTGTCGCATTTTTACGAGCCCGTGCATGGATCCCAGGCCTGGTACCAGCAGGTCATCTTGCGCCAGTTTTTCAACTTTTTCATGGAGATCAACGCCGCCATCAACTTTGTGCTCTACTGCGCCCTTTCCAAACGCTATCGGAGGGAGTTTTGTCAAGTCTTCTGCCCGTTTCTTGTGTGAGTTCCCCTTTTTTTTCTTCTCTCTCTCTCTGTCTCTCTCTCTCTCTCTCTCTCTCGATGGATTCCAGGAATCTTCATGAAGGTTTGATAAAAGATTGAAATCTAGAGAAAAATGGAATCAGTGAGTCCTGGGAGAACAATAAAGGGGTGTAGTCCAAAAGCCCCCTGCCAAAAGCCCCCCTAGGAAAAAAGCCCCCCTCTGAAAGCCCCCTGCCAAAAGCCCCCCTTGGTGCAAAAATTGGGGATTATAGGCATTCTTGCAACTCTTGATATAGGCATTCTTGTCAACGTATTACTTCCCTTTGCTTAAAATGCTGCGAAAACCATCTTAAATTATATGAAAAAATACGGCAGAAGCACGTGAGTGCGTAATTGTTTGTTAAACTGAACTTTTACCAATTAAATACAGTATTTATTTCTGCATATGGAAAAGCTATCTGGAGAAAATTCTGATTCATTAAATTGAGCAGATGTCCTCATTTGTATTTTTAATCGAGAAAATGCTGAGTAGATAACATTTTTTTTTTATGCGAGAACCCTTTGAGAGAATGTCAGCTCGAACCTGGGAGTTCAAACTCTTTTTTCAGGCAGTTTCTAAAAGCTAATCATACAAATTGTCATGCGTCGACGTCGACGTCGACTCGTCGAAAATTCATCATGAGTCACGTCACTCACGTGTGAAAGTTGGAGGACTCGATTAGCAGCACTCATGTGCTCTATATATAATCTAATAAAAAATAAATCATTCCTAATCGACGTCCGCTCGTCTATGTAGAAAGCCTTCCTAATGGCACTGTCTTTCGTAAAATATTAAAATCGACGCCTTTATATTTTCTGCTGCAGGTGTCGACGAAGTCCCGGACGCCAGATGACGAACCGCGAAAATCCAACAACAGCGTCTGTTCTAGGCCGCACAACATCGTTGCTTCGCACAAGTGCCAGTCTCTCGTGTCGCATTCGAAACACTGCTCTCATTCCACTAGTGAAACTCAGGTCACCCGAGGTCAACGCCAAACTTCCCGTCATCGTCTCAGAAACCGACACCCTGGTGCTTGAGGTGAACCGTAAGAAACTGATCCTGGACGACGAACCCGAGAGCCCCGAACAACCCGACGGCATCATCCGGAAACGGGCTGTCGTTGTTGATGACGACGATGTTGATGATGATGATCGTCAACTGCAGGTCACTGTTGCCAACAAGTATCCACCAGAGCCACATCCGAAAAAGAGTTTCATGGTTTCTCGTTCAAGGCAATCGTCTTCTTTTGTTTCGACTTTGCGAATGTCAGAGCTCATTTCCGCGGCGGAACAAGGCTCACAGAGCGAAGAAGTTTAGAAGGAATGGCAAAAAAAATTGCAGGGGAAGGTCTCAATTAATTTTGTACGAGTGGACTTTTTTGGGGGTGGGACGTGAAAGAACAGCATTATTTTTCCTGATTCGAATTTTTTTGGAGCGAAAAAAAGCTCTTTCGAAAAGGTGAAAAAAGACACATAGGAGCTCTCCTTCCTCCCAAAATGAGATAAAATTATTTATTTGAAATAAGTCACCCACCGCAAAGTCCGGGATGAAATTTGCCCAAAATCTGAGAATCCAGATTATCATAGAACAATTCACACAATGTGTGAATCACTTCTATAAGAAGTTATTTTGTGTTGATGAACCACACAGAAAGCAAGGATTGAAAATTACGCGAGGCAAAGAATCATCCAGGGTTAAACAGACCCGTGGAAATAATTCAATTTTTTACTCACCGTGTAAAAAATCTATTTTTCCATTTAAAATTCTCAGAGGGTGAATACAGTATTTCGATTCTGCAGTATGAGATTTTGATAACTTTCTCAGATTTGTAGTTCAGTACTAAACTTCACTTTGGTTTCTGCTCGTAAGATTTTGTATTTCCCTGTATATTTATTTTTTGTTGGAATAGATATTTCCCACAAGTGTAAGACTTCAGAAAAAATCATCCGGAAGAAAAGAAAATCGACGAAGAGCCCCATTAAAAATTATTTGTAAATATCTCCAAGAAAATCCCTCCGTTTCAACTGATGACGATCGAAGCTCATGGATTTTTGAAATTCCATCAGGCACATATCGAAATGAAAAGCATGTCAACTTGCTTTTAACCTGGATTATTTTCTTATTTCACCCAAAATATTTTTACTTGATGCTTTTTTGTATCAAATTTATATGAATCAGAGCAAATCCTTTTTCATCTGATTTATTTTCATCCCGGGAAATTTTCTGTTGGTCCTTTTTCACTGCTTCATTGACTCGTGGGCGTTCGAATCCTGACTATGACATAAAATATGGACAAGAGAATAAGTTTCTCAAAGCTGCATTAATTTTGGTTAACTTTCAACGACTTTTAGAAGTGAACAAGGAACAGGACAAATTTTCGTCGTTCGAGATACTGCTGTCCATTCCATAGAATTTTAAATTATCGGGCAAAACTGTATGTTTTTGAAAAGGTTGCTCACGGATTTTCCTATGGAAAATCGCCAATTAAACCGAAATAAAAACCTGAATTTTTAGTACGGTAATTCGAGAGTTGTACAGTTTTTCGCATTTTTCACGTAAGGAAAAAATGAAATGAAGATGTTAGTGTATTCGAAATATTTGTTCATGCTCGTCAGTTGCTGTGAATTTTTTTTTTTCTCGAAGTCAAATGAGCACCAACGCGTGTGATTCATTGACTGGTTGATCTCTATATAGTTGTACTTTTTGTTAAAATTTGCTCCGGCATTTTCGATGTATTCAAACGGATTACGAATGTTTTCAGCGGAATATTAACATGATTGTTTCGAATTTGATCAATCGGTGTTGAACGTACGATGTTGTTGAAGTCGAATTTGAAATGAATGAGCTGTGTTCTGAGCTCGTGGTGTTTTCTTTCTTTCTTTGATGTATAATTGACGCTTTTTTCTATTCACGTTTTTTTCTACATTTCTTCGCATCATTAGTTACGTAAATATTACTTTCATTTGGAAGAATCAACGAAGGGCACATGAAGTGAAACTGCTGATGGTGGGTATAACAACTTTTCACGTCGCCGTGGGAAAAACGGAAATCTTTTCTTGAATTTGCAAAAGGTTTATTTTTCGTCATCGCAAAAATTGATACATTTTCGGTCGCCAATCTCGCCAGGTCTATTGCACGTATTTTCATAACTCAACTTTGCCCAGGATTTTGAAATTGAAGGTCTGCATAAGAAATGCTCAGTATAATGATGATTATTTTCCTTTGTGCAGCCATTTACTGAGCACTTTATTTACTGCATCAATGGCCCATTCTTTTGGCCTCAATCGAATGAACCTTCTTGATGTTACATGATTCGCCCTGGTAGTTCTTGAGGTATGATGAAAAACCGTCGTTTTATGTCGAGACGTTTTGTGATTGATTGGTGAAAATCTGCCGGTAGTGATTTTTTTTCTGTCACTCATTGTAGTGAACTCGAACACTCGAGTCGATTCCTCTGTCGAAACATGTTCAAGGGAAGACGAGATTTTTTCAAGAATTAAAGTTGTAATAAGTGATGTCTTCCAATGTGAATTTCCTCTGGTTTCGAAAACCGTGGACTCCGTCGTCCCGGTCAAATCAGTCTTCGGCGAAAATTCGCTTTCATATGAATCAATGCTTGTTGATGGGATATCATCAGTCAAATCGTGAACTGAAGACGGACTAGAATAAGTCGTAACTGATGTCTTCCAATAAGGGGAATTTCCTGTGGTGTCAAACACTTCAGACTCTGCCACTGTCTCAGTTAAATTATTTCCTTGCGACGATTCGCTTTCAGATGTATCAATGAGTGTCGATGCAAAATCATCAGTCGAATCGTGAACTGAGATCGGAATAGAAGTTGTATCCACTAATGTCCTCGAATTCGAACTTCCGTTGAGTTCGAAAACAGTAGTGCTGGAACCTGTCGTCCAAGACGAATCATTCCCTGGGGAAATTTCGCTTTCAGGTGAATCAATGGCTGCTGTTGATGAAAAACCAGTCAAATCATCAACCGAAGACTTGGAAAGCGAAGACATAGTCGTCATTTTTCCATTCGTGATATCTCGGCTCGACATAACCGCAGTGGGCTGACTAAAATTATTATAATCCTCGCTTGACTCTGACTGTGTTTCAGAGCTATCAGAAGTTGACAAACTACTAAAAACAGCTGCCAAGCTCGGATTACTCCACTGCTGGGTAAATTTAGTGCTCGCAATCGAGCTTCTGTCGTCAGATGTCGACGCAAGTCCGTCTAATTCAGTCTCGGATGAGCTAATTATTGCGGTAGTCGTGGTTTCCCGAGACGCCGTCGTAGTGGAATTAGTTGCACTGCTGGTTTTCGATGTAGTACCCTGACACTGGCTAGCGTAAATCAGATTGATTTCCGCGGTATCTCGAAACGAAAGGGAGTTCTTCTCGTAAGGCTCAAGGAGGATCCTGGTGGGATCGTTCTTCACCACTATTGTTTGAAGGCGGATTCCTAATCCGCTGATGTAAGTGCCGAACGCGAAGGATCCGTAGTGCATAATGGAGTCGAAGTCGTACCGCAAGCCGACGTCGTTGGACGACGTCTGTGGAATGATGTCGAATTGTGGCAGAGAACCTGGTTTTAAAGAAAATTAAGTTTTAAAAAACGAAAGGAATAGAATTTCATCAGAAACACGCTAGTGTGAATTAACGGTATGGTATATTAATATTGTATATATTCCTCGAGCAACGACAAATGATCCCTTGAAATGATCCAACCTGATGATGCTCTGACGTGGCCCTAAAACATGCTGTGTTACCCTACCTTTTTGGGCCTAAAAATCTGTAAATTCTCATAAAAATTTGCATTGGACAAAGTTTCAGAAGATTTTCTGCACACTAACAAATTTGCATGAAATTTTTGCAGACCCAAACAAAGTTTGTTTGAAAGACTTTATGGCAGGTTTTTAACCCTTGGACGGCAGAGGGTTCTTTCTCAGTGCATGGAGGAGTTGGGATTTTTCTGGGGGTGGCGCATTTCAGTTTGACCCAAGGTTACTGAAATGCGCCCAGGTTCAGGAGGACTAAGTTGGGAAAAATCTGGGAGAGCAAATTTTCTTTTGTTCCCAAGATTTTCTCATGCAAATCCTATGCCAGGAATGCAGGAAAAAACACCACCCAGCCAGGGATTTTTAAAAATGTTCCATAAAAATTTTTTGCAGAATTAGAAAAAAATCTTGGACTTTTTCCAACTTAGCCCTTGGTGAAAAAGTAAGTTTTTTTTATTCCCAGTGCCCAGTGGCACACAATTTTGCAAAAATATCCCAACTTTGCCACACAAGGGTTAACAAGTTTCTACTGTTTTGCAAAATTCAAGTTGAGAAAAAATGAAGCAGCTGTAGTGGAATGGTCTCAAAAATCAAAAATGTGGGCTTGAAGAAAGTTTAAGAATGAAAAATTAAAATAATTTATTTCAGCAGGTGAAAATGTGTCTAAAATAAGTATTATTAGAAGAAAAGCCAACTTTCCTTTTTTCATCAGATAGTTTCAACTGCCATTGCATTTCCAAAATTTCAGATGAAGATAACAGACTTCATTGCTACTTTTGATAAATTCATTATGCTGAAGAAAATTTCCGGCAGACCAGCAAAAAACATCTATGGCCCAGCATTGGTCTACTGCTATAAAATACATTCTACCTCAGTTTCCCCAGATAAAAATTCTTTTTGGACCTCCTTCACATTCATGGCAATAAATTTCAAGATTCTGCCAATTTTAAAACGCAAGGGGATTTTATGGCAAGATAAGTGGAATAAAAGTGTGATGAATTAGAAGTAAAATGCAGTTAGCAAATCAAGGAGAAGGTCGTTACGAAAATTCAACGAATTTTCTTCAAGCTCGAAAGAATGTGACTGCCTCTTAGACTGGACACATTTTCCGGAACTTTTTATAAATCTCAGAAGTGTTCTTGTGCTAAGAATTATTAGATCATTACTGAGTCTTCAAGCTTCAGAAGCATAACCGAATTCACTCTCATTGAAACCCATGTCAAGAGAAATCCCAAACTGGAAATCATCACTGCGTATTTGCACTTCCTTTTCCATAAATTGCTTCTGAATCAGGTGAGTGCATCGAATCTAGTGTTTCGTTCCAATTTAATCTCCTCAAACGCTTCCAATATACACGTATTAATACTCAAAAGCCTTGTGCTCTTGCACTTGAAGGACGTTGAAGTTCTTCGAGTTTCGAAGGATTTTAATTTAAACGATTGTCTGGGCCAGAAGCACAGAGGATGATCATCACGTTGCGTTTGAATCTTGTAGGTAATTTCGTAATTTATTTTTAAAACAAAATTAAGATGCTTAACTTAAAATTAAATAAATTAAAATCAGATAGAGACCATATATACCTGATTCAACATTCTGCGTTTTAATCGTAATGTAATTATCTCTGTCGTATCGCTGATGCTGATGAATCAAACCAAAGGCATGCAAAAGCTCATGAATGATGGTTCCGGTCACCCAACAACCAGGCCATTGAAGATTCAGAACCTGGGCTCCCAGGGTGTCCATGCCCACGTAAGACCAGCAACTGAAAAAGAGAAAATGTGCATGAGTTTCGACACCGAATTGGATTAATTTATTATTTAATCCTCCTACATAGCTTTGCCTCTTTATCTTTGATGTTCCCAAAAATAGCATTCAAAGTTGTAAAATGAGAGAGCATTTCCGACGGATTTGTAGATTGATTCCAAAAGTAGAGTCAAAGTCGATCTTCGAGGAACCAGCGAAGAAATTTCGACGGAAGAGGTTTTTAACTCAGCGAAACAAAAATGTGTGTCGATGGAAAGAAAATAATAAATAAGAATTGCAGGAAATTGTGATTGGTGATATACCGTAAATTTTTTTAATTCAATGAGTTTACACGGGGCTGATTTGGGAAGAAAGGACTCATCTGCCCAACAATTCATCTTTCACTTCATCCGTCCAAAGCACATCAAGTTTCGCATCGATCTATTATTCATTTCCAGCGTCAAAAGAAAAAAAAAATTGCAAAAAGGTCTCCATAAAATTCAAGTCATGGAGGTTTGAAAGGGAACGATTTTTTATGCATTTTTTCTAAAGCAATTCAGGCATGAATGTCAACAAAATCTAAAGAAGGTTCAAGTGTTGGACTAAAGGAGGCTCGAGTTATGAATGTTCAGCTGGAATCAAAGTTCACAACAATTTATGACATCAGTTCAACTTTAAAATTTTGCATGTATCCAGCGAGGTGGAAGAAGCTTCAATAAAATTTAATTTTATTCTCCATTGTCTCTTAAAAATAGAGACACAATGGTCATTACCCGGTATTTTCTGAGGTAACCTTGACGTAGGTATTAATAGACGCAGTATTATTCCTGGGAACGATCCGCAAACAAGTCTTCAGTTGTATCGCTTCCACAGCGGCATTCCATGAAATCGGATCAATATCTACGAATTCCCAGAATTTTTCCTCTTCATCACCGACCATCGTCAAACACGGAATACAACTCTTACAACTCACAATTTTCAGAGGAAAACTCGTAGAACAAGATCCCATGCGGCCAATATTTGTAGCGATCAGTTTCTTTGATCGTCATCAAAGGAAACTCGTCGGACTGCGCATAAACGAGAAATATACTGTATATAAAAAAAAATATTTTTGCGTCGAACCCTTCCTTTCAAGTGTTTATTATCGAAACTCACTGGGGATTCAGGAATGTTCATTCCACCTCGCATATCACCGCCGAAGAAACCGGGATTTTGATAGAGCTGGGAAAGTTTTTCTGCGTCCGGATGTCGCAAATCATATTCCGAAGGCATTGCGATCGAAATGTGCATGATTTCAAGGATTATCAGAATATTTACCAATAAGCGTTCACAGCTTCTCATAGCCATATTTTCGACGATTTGTCTTCTTTTGTTTTTTCACGCGAATTTTCGTGGACTGGTGCAACTGTCGAATAAATTTGGGCACATTTTAAAACTCGGTTCAGCACTTAATTCATCCAATGGCCTGAATAACACAACATCGACATGCGACTGATGATTAAAACTATAAATACCGTAATAGTAACGTAATTGCTTTCGTAAGTTCACGCACTTGCTTCCAAAAACCAACTTTTCAGAGAACGATGCATCGAAAATGTATCCTCACAAAAAACGGTGCCACAGAAAACTAAACGTGAAAATGAATATCCTCGGCCACTGAAAGACTTTGTACTGCAGAAGCAAGGTAATTAGCTGCACTAGATGGTCCTAAGGGTAAAAATGAGGGGACGAAATATGATTTAACATTCGGATGTGCGTTTTCAAACGTCTGATAAAAATTTAGAATTTAACCGAAGAAGGTCGAATGAACGACTGAAAACTCAAGATACCAAATTGTAAACTCTTCCTCACGATTCAGGTATTCATCAATTGTAGTTCACGGTAGATCAAATGATTTATATTCAGAAATGAATTTAATCTCGAAAGACAAACAGTTCACCCGAGAAATAGTTGTGAAGCTCAGAGATAACAGAAGTTCTCGACACAATCACCCGTATGAAAAAACCGTAACTGTCAGTTGTAGACATGCTCTAAAGTCTAAACTTCCAGTATCACGTCGATGATCAAGTTCAACTCGTCTTCTACATTAGAACACTATTACGTGTAACATTTGCAATTAATGCCATGCCAATCAGTCAGGATTGAATATTTGGTGAACATATTTTCAAACAAACGATTGAACATTTCGCCTAGAAATGTATTTCTCTCGTCAAATCTATCCCCCTTTATTATGAATTGTTTTCATTCGTGAAATAAATTAAAGCCCAGAATAGAAAATCGGCTAATGAGAATTCTTGGTTAGCGTTTGAAAAAAATTCGAAGAATAATCCTCAATGAAAACCCTTATTCTCAGTCGCATTCCAACACTCAGTCATTTAATAAGTCAAACTCTTCATAATTCAGGATAATTTAATGTTATAATACGAAGGGAACAATTCAACCCTATATGCTAGTGATGATTCAATGTTAGCCTAATAAAGTCGTCAACATAATTTTTAAAAAATCCAGCGGAGAAGTTCGTAACTGTCGTGAGATTCGCTACAAGTACGGAGCATCAAATGAAACTGCCTTTGCTCGGGGAAATTAAAATTTTAAGCAAAAAAAAAAGACTTAATGCAACAATCCTTCTAAAATGAAACAACCACCAGTTGCAAACAGGTAAACCACCGACAACAGACAACCTCGTACTAACTGCCGACGATTGTTGCCAAAACGACGCGTCGCTGCGAAAGCGGCCAAGACGTCATGAAATTACGGAAGGAATCCTGTGGCGTAGAACTGTCGACGCAATTCCCATTGAAAAACAGGATATATATTGCGCCAACTTCACGACTGACTCACCTTCAGGAAATTACCATTTTCTACGCATTTCTGTACCCTCCAGCCGAATGGTTTGTCGGATTACGTCAATCCCGACGGGAATTTCATGGAATACTTCGATGACGATGTGGAGGGATTTTGCTTCCCTCGCGTGTTCGTCGTTCTGAACTGTTCTTTATATAGTGAAATATTCAGGAGATGGGAACATGTGTCTTGGTTGTAAATTATCACTGAAAATTACGTGGCTTCTGTTCACATCATGGAACCGAAGCAAAGAAAGGGTTGTCTTTTTATTTCCGCGCGTAGCGGGAATAAGAATATCGACTGTCTGTATTGAAAAATGTTCGATTTTATTTTATTTTAAAAAGCACAGAGTCTATAACGCATATTATTATTTCAAAATTTCCATGTGTGATGGTTTGAAGTCAGGCATATTTGAAACTGGATTACTTTGGGCGGAAAAAACACGAACATACCTTTTCATCCTGATCATCTCATCTCTTATTCATTTAATCATCACTCAAGAATGTTCAGGAAATTTTCCCTTGCGATGACCTTTCCACATCATCTCACTTTCCTTGGGTTTTATATAACGACGAGAAGGAAAAATAATCAAAGTAATGCTTATTTGAGCAAAAGGGATATTATTTTATATATGTAAAAAATTCTTGGTGTTTTTAAATCCCGTTTGGGAGAAAACATCAAATATTTTTCAATATGCGTAGAACCTTATAAAATTTGTATTTCTATTACAGAATCATAGATAAAAATAGATCACTAATCTGACCAATGCTTGCCTGTACATTACATCACATGCACATTTTCCATCGCATTTTAGATTTCAGTCAAATACTGCACTGAATCACGTGTAAAAATCAGCAAACCTTTCCATTTTTACCATTTATTCTTCCAAAAATCCTAGATTTAATTGAGGATTATACCCAGAGAATTTTTATTACATTTCCACCTGACCAATTTTGCTCTTACGGATGATACAAGGAATAATTATACGAAGTGACGTACTTCCTGTCGCGAATATTTCAACGGATACATTAAATTCGATACGCTAGCTTTTGGAGAACCCGAATTCCCCGACGAATTTAGTCTTTCATTCGTATCTGTATGGGAATCTCGGAAAACCTTGGTTCC